TTTAAAAATTGTCTGTAAAAATGAATAGAAATCACTGGATTTGTGGTATAAACATTTTAATAGAAAATTCACATTGTTATTGACACTGTGATAATTTAAACCATAAATATGTGCTTTCATTTTCTAAATAGGGTAGTTCAATATATAGTTAAATTTCTCTTTATCTGCTCTTAAAAATAAATCAAGAGTAGTAGTGACAATATGATATAAATACTTCAAAAATGATCACCCATGTTAATGGCAATCACACACTTTCATATATAATAACAATATTGTCTAACCTTAGTCAAAAACATTTTTGTGAATTGTTCATCTTGCCCTATCATGCGCAATTGCATATTTTCCATTGGACCTGGATGCCTTTTCTTTTGCTGTCATTTTTATGTCCTTTATTAACAGTTGCTATGTAAAAACCATTTCTGTTCTGAGGGATATTTTTCAGTACTTAAGTATGAACTCGTCTTGTGATAATGCTGCAGTAACTCCTTCCTCTTTCGATCTTTGAGTTTTCATCTGGCTTACTCTTCTTCAGACTGTGACTCTGCAACGTGCCTGATAATCCTTGCTGAGTCATTTGTACTTCCCCTAATCTTCTTGGGTCACCCTAAAAGGCAAAGTTACTGTTGTTCACACAGGGAGACACAATGGAGCATTCCCTTTGGATATGATGACATCTTCAGTTCCCCAGGTCCTCCAGAAACTAGTCACTTAAGGCTGTTACCCTGAAGTTCACTCAGCAGTTTTAAGTAAACTTCTGATTTAAGGAACCGGGGATAGGAGTCCCTCTCCATAAGTGTATATATAACTTTTTGGGCTTCATCAAAGCTCGTGGGAGTTGGCACTTGAATCTTCTTAGCTGTAGACTCTCGGGTATGAAAATCAATATTGATCTAAAAGACAAAAAACCCCAACATAATTAACTGCTGTCTTTCACCACTGATTTGAATAAGTTTGTTAAAACTTTATATTAAAACATCTTATCAAGAATTTAATTCAACAAACATTTATACATCTCCTCTACTATAGTATGAACCCTATTCTAGGTGCTGGCAATACAAATCCAAAAAATAAATAATCCTAATCTTCAGGAAGCTTATATTCCAATGGACATTACTTTTTTTTTTTTGTTTTTTGGTGAGGCAATTGGGGTTAAGTGACTTGCCCAAGGTCACACAGCTAGTAAGTGTCAAGTGTTTGGTCTGAGGCTGCATTTGAGCTCAGGTCCTCCTGACTTCAGGGCCGGTGCTCTAACCACTGCACCACCTAGCTGCCCCCCATGGACATTACCTTAAAATGAGTGGTGGTTCCAAAGTAGTTGGGGTTTTAAGTCTCTAGTCTGATGACCTGGGTATATATCCTGCCTTGGCTGCCTACTATCTATTGACCTTAGGCATGTCACAGTCTTTCTGGGCTTTAGTTTCTTCACTTGGAAAATGAGGTGGTTGGACACAAGACGGCCTCCGGGGTCTCTCTCAACTACAGCTCTATGATGTTATGATCCTGTGATTCTATATACTTAATTCAATTAAGCAGATAGATTTTTTCACCTTCCTTCCCTGCATATTCAAACACCATAACAGGTACTGTGAAGTAGACAAAACAGTATTGTATAAAATTTTTCTCTCCTCAGCGTGCTTGCACTTTCAGTAATAGTACACGGTGCACATACACATGATATAGCTGGATAATAGTTGAAGTTATTGTAGGCTTAAGTATCCATATTAGTGGTAAAGACCATTAAGAACTACAGAAGGTTAGAGAAGAGGAACAAGTACCTGGATGGTCTCGGTACCTTTAACATTGATCCAGTGCCTTTTATCAAGCAGGAAAGGATGACTCTAGCAAAGTGACTACTGATTGTTGCTACTGAATTTGCCAATAAATCACATGGTTTCAGAACGAAGGGAAACTTAGAGATCATCCAGTCCAAAATCCTCATTTTAGAAATCAGAAAATTGAGGCCCCCAAATAGGTACATAATTTGCTCAAGGCCCCATGTATAGTAACTGACAAAGTCAGGAGCCAAACCTAGAACTTCTGACTCTAAATGTGGTGCCTTTTCTATCACATTATTGCTGCCTCCCTCCCCTTCATCACAGTCTGCAGTTTCTAATTGTCCAGCATGTAGCGCTTCAGCAATAATTACCCTAAAGCTTGAATCTGCTAGAAAAACAAAAAGAACCCTGTACTCAGAGGCCAACCAGTAATCCAATAGAGCTCCTCTATGTGAGCATTCTCTGCAACAATGGACATCACAGCCTATTTTGCAACACCTATTTCAACCAATGTATGCTAATCTAGTCATAAATATTGACAATCAGTATTTTTGAGTGTATATTCTTCTAGAAAGAGAAATATGAAGACTTTGGCCTTTTTAGTCATAGGATCATAAGATCACAATTTAAGAGCTGGAAGTGACCTGAGCAAGCGTCTGTCTAGTCCAATTATTTCATTTTTTTATATCAGAGGCCCAGGAAGTTTAAGCAAGTCTACCCGAGGGTTCCCAGGGATAAAGGGGCAGCCATGATAGAAAGGAACCATCCTTGGTATGGAGTTTAAAGGTCATTTTTAGTCATATTGATGCTCAACTTGATTAGCCCTTTACTTACTTGTTTTGTGGCATCTGATTGAACAAATGCCTTGTAAATCTTTTCAGCTTTGCAATGCAAATGATCAGATTCTGTTCGTTTGTAATCTTCACAGGCCAACCAGAACTCCATATTCTCTTCACTGAACTCTGACTTTAGAAAGTTACCAAAGACAGCTTGCCCAGCTAGAAATTAAAATGAAATAAAACGAAACTTTAAGTTAATTGAACTGTTAAGTTCATGACAAAGATAAAGTATGTAAGAAGACTAGAACATATATTCTCTTCTTATGAGAACCAGAGGATGTTACTAAAATGCTAGTATGATGGTATGTAAGATTCTTAGAATTGAAAGGAATTTTAGAGATTTTCTAGTCCAATTCCCTTATTTTACAATGAAGTAATGGGAGCAAAGAGACATTCAGAGTCACACAAGTATCTAGTGTCAAATGGAGAGCAATGTTTCATTGTAATGTATAAATTTTCCATGTTATAGGAAGGAGGAATCCTTTTTAGATATATTAGATACTATCATCATTAAGATCCCTTTTAACTTCTGAAATTCTGTGAACCACGGAATAATCACTTCTCTCTGCTACTTTGTAGTAACTTTTATTCAGAATGTATTTTTAAAAAATGAACTTCATCAATTCTCAGAACATTCATGAGTATTTGATAGTTAGAGAGTATTATCTCCCCCATTCCAGCAGCTGGATATACTGGTAAGAGCGTTGGACTACCAGTTGGAAGACAAGTTTTCTAATTCTAACTGGCTGTATGGCCTTGGGTAAATAATTTAACTTCTGTTTTCCTCATCTATAAAATAAGGAAGTTAGACTAGATGAAATCAGGGGTCCTTTTTTTGCTCTCATTCTAGGCCACAGAAACTGAAACACAGTCTTTGCCTCTACATGTCCACTGACCTTCATTTTAATTAACTTTGTTTAGTCTTATTAATAGCTAAAGGTTATATAGTAGATTAGTTTAGCCCTATACAAGAATCGGCATCATTCAGCTGGAAATAACTGCCCCAACAACAAAAGAAGTGCATTCAATTGTTCTAATATACGTGGAAATCTATTGCCTAAAGGGGTTCGTTGCTTGCCAAAATTCTTTGGGAAGTCTGTGTGACCAGCTTCTACTCACAAACTGGTTAGAATCCTCTAGTGTCTCTCTTAACAAGCACCATACCTAACAAAGCCAGTTATGAGCCAGTTAATTTATATTGTGCACGTGGGAAGAAGAAAAATTGATTGCATTCCACTTCAGGGAAAAAAAAATCTACCAGTCTCTTTGCTCTTTTCAAACAATTTCAACTTTCTCTCTGTTTTACATTTAGATAAGAACTGGAAACAGAAAAATTTGAAGAATGCCAATGGAGACATTGCCATAGTTCTGAATAATATTCTACTTTGGAGATCTGGGCATGCTCTTATTGGCTTTCTCTTACATCATCCCCTAGGCCTCCTGCCTAGGCACATTTGTCTGGAAACAGTTACAGAATCAAGTGGATAACAACTCGTGATGCGTGTTATACTAATGCCATCAGTAACTATGAAGAAGCAAGAACACAAGTTTTTTTTTTTTTAAAGCAACCTACACTCTCTATATTGTATCTCAGAGAAGCCATGCCCTTTGCCATGAAATTTAATTTTGATGTAAGAAATCAATATCAATCCTCTCTACTTACTTTGGTTGGTGAGAAGTTTTTCCAGGGATTGAGACCACTGTATTACTTCTGTTGCAGAAAGTCTGCAGAGAACGAAAATTTAACTAAATTAGCAAATTACTCATTTAATTTGAAAATAAAAAGATTCTTTTTCAATATGTTTCCCAGTGGCTTTTGATAACATTTCAGATCAAGGTCATGGCTGGTAATGAATTTTTATTAATTAACTAATTGTAAGGACTTTAGAGACCTTCAATATAATTAACTAAAATTCCACAGAAAATAAAACAGAAAAAAATGCTCTTTGCTAATCCAATGTAAAATAATATGAAATTAAATAAAATCAACTTAGTTTGCTACCTGAAAAATATACTCTTAAGTAGGTTGAAATCTGAAATCAATTCATATGCATCTTCTGGGGACTTATCTTGTTAAAATGCAGGTATAATGACTAGGTAAGTATTGTGGTTAACAGTAATGAATCATTGAAATAGAGTACTTACATGTCTTTGGACTTGGAAGATTTGATCCCAGATTCCAGATGTGGTAACATGGATTTCAAATAGGCTTTCAGGTCTGTTCCACTACAAAAGAGAGTAAAACTGACAATAAACATCTGTGGCTTTATACATTTACACATATAAAAGCAAACATCACCACCACCAACACAGAACTTAACACCACTTAACCTTTGGTTAAGTCTGGCAAGAAACAATTTTGATGAATTTTTCTATTCTATTGTAGGTTAAATTGAAATCTACATTCACGTGGAGAACTCTGGAGAAATTCTCACCTAAGGTTAGCACAATTTATGACAAAAAATTACAGCAGCACTCCCATAAGAGATAGCTAAGTACTCAGCTCTCCCTTCCTTGTACTTATTCTCCCGCCATTTAAAATTCTTTAATTTCAAAATACAAAGTATGAGGTCAATTAAACTTACAAAGCCTTTGGTCTCTTTTTCTGAGTTTTGTCATCTAGTAGACAGTGATCAGATCCTTTCAATTCACCAGGATTAGCAGAGGGAAAGAATAGTCCTGGCATTTTGTTTAGTCTTGGAGTGGAGATGGCTGCTGCTCTCATAGTCACCACTCTGAAAGGCTGCTCATCAACGGCTGCACAGCTTTATATAGTAAATGCAAACTGGCTCTCTCTCTCTGTACAGACGAATCTGTTTATCAAGTGATGTTACCACAGACACTGGAAGTTCCCCTTTTCTGGGCTTCTTGTGACGTGTATCTTGAAAGAAAACTGTGATGTCTTGTGGTTGAAACCTAATCAAATGAGAACAGGTTGCTTGGTTAGAAAATGCACACACATACATATATGTACACACACACAGAGTGTTTCTTGAACATTAGAACTGCAGACCATCAGGCCTAGGTGATGTTTGTCTGGGTCTAATTGCATCACCAGATTGCAAAGTTAAAATATGTCTGAAAGTTTAACGTGAAGAGCTTTAAGGGTTTTTTAAAATTCCCACTGTTTAGCTATGACACATTTTGCTGTGGGTGTGACCACTCTTTGTGTGCTTACTGGGATATAGAATGTCCCAGTCACACTTTAACTTTCCAGTGAATTTGCTGGAATATGTCATTGCTTTATTAATGGACAATATAACAAGAGGTCAAGAAATTCCATTTGTGAAATAGTTCTTCTCTGTTGTAGTCGCTGGCCTTGTTAAGCCCAGGGTTAAATGAAACTCAGGCACAAATATTAGTTTTATTTTAAAATAAATGTTTCAATTCTGCAGGGACTAGGTAAAATTAGTTCTTCTGTTTGCCTCCTTTGAATCACAGTTTGGTGGGCTGAGGGTACTAGGAAATAATAGTTTTCTATGTCAGACCAATAAGTATGATTTATAGATCAAATATCCCTGTGATTTCTTGCTTATGCAAATAGGGCAGAACAGATGTGAACCTTGCCAAGGTAGGTTGATATGTACTCTCTTGGTGATGCTGAGAAAAACTCAGGCAGCATTCCTACAATAGTATAGCCAAATCAGCTTTGAAATGAATAGGATCAAAGGTTTAGACCTATATAGAGGTCACCTAGACTAAACCTCTTTTTGCAGATGTGACTTGTCAAGTGACATGCTAAGGATGCACGGATAGTAAATGGCAGAGAAAGGGCCTAATTTACACTCTCTGAATCCAAATCCAATAACTTCCACACATTGCCTCTATAGGTAGATACTTCTGGTCAGGTCTGACCCTCCTCCCCCCCCCAAAAAAAAAAAGATAGGGGAAGAGTGAGATGGAAATGAATTGTTCAAGGGAGTGACTTTTAATTAGCTTTTGTCTCCTAAGACAATGGTTAGCAACTGGCTGATCCTTTCACTCATCTTTTTGCCTGCCCTGGCAAGGATGAAAATACATTGTGTAATGTCTTACCCTGGTCTCAACTGATAATAAGCTTCTCAACTTAGTCTCTCAACAACTTGGTGAATAGCAACCAAAGCTAGTATTGTCCCTGTTTTCCAGATGGGGAGCCTAAATTTTAGAGTTGCCCTCTTTTGTCCAGAGAGTCTTCTGACAACAGTATATGCTTCTGTTTAAGAGTAAAGAAGACAAAAGATGGGTGAGGAGGAGAGGAGAAATTATGGAAACTGTTTTCTTGTTCTATTTGCATGCTTTAATGGAAGAGATAATAGGAATGGGAGTTATTAATGTTATATGTAATCATGTCAGTTTATTCATGTATTAAGGTTCAGCAAGGAGGGAAGAAGTCTGGGGTGTGTGTGTGTGTGTGTGTGTGTGTGTGTGTGTGTGTGTGTGTGCGTGTGTGATGGGGGTAAGTAATCAGAAGACCCAAGTTCTAATCCTGAGTTTTTGCTCTATTGATATCTAGCCATGGGCCTGTAGCAAATGACTTGACCTTCCCTCTGAGAATATCTCTATTTTTTCCTGCAGATAGCTTGTTTGTGTAGAATTATTTACATGTTGTCTCCTCATTAGACTATAAGCTCCTTCAAAGCAGGGGCTGTCTTTTGCCTTTGTTTTGTAATGTGTCCAGTCCTTAGTCCCTAGGTGGCACCATGGATAGAACATTGGCTCTGGAATAGGAGGAACTGAGTTCAAATCTGACCTTGGACATTTGACACTTACTAGCTGTGTGACCCTGGGCAAGTCACTTAATCCCATTTCCTAGCCAAAAAAAAAAAATGAGAGACATCGATGCCCTTGATAAATGTCTTCGTAGTATTAAGATTTTCTTAGTTCACTTGTAGTTGCAGTGAATGGGAAATATTTGGTTCCCACGGTCCAAGTTGGGATGGTGGGAAATACAGGCTATGGAGGGTTATAAAGTAGCAATTGAGATAACATGATAACCTATGAAAGAGGACTGGCAAGATTTGTGCTGAACCACATAAAGCTTAAGAGTCTCAAAGCCTCATGACACAAATATATTGGTTTATACATTTCCTGTGGTTTAGTCTTTACCTATACTCTCTGTTTAAATTATGACTCGTACTGATATGTTTGTAACTCATGTTCCAGGGTCCTCTGAAGAATCTAGGATCACATGAACTGGGTTAAATCATGAGTTCCTCACCTTGATCAGATTCTCTCCGGTCAGTCATGCTTTTTTTCCCCCTTCATTCTGAGTAATTGCAGTGGTGAAGGACAGAATGCCAGATATCATGGTCATATAAATATGAGCAAAATAATCTGGTTATACCACTTTCTGTGTCTTCATTTTAGTCTTAACTCAGAGAGATTAATTTTGTGAAAACTGGTCATTACTGCAACTGAAAATGTGGAACTAAGGCTGAAGAAGTTTTAGAGGTTATGACCCAGACCTAGGTGCTCAAAGCTTGCTATAAGCAATTCTATATTATGTCCAGTTATAAAATTTGTGTTGTACAACAAATAGGAAACAGTGAAAAAATGCAAGATGAATATTTTTTCAATTCAATTCATTTGAATTCAGTAATCATTTACTAAATATTATATGCAAAGCATTGTGTTAGGCTCTGGAAATTTAAAAACAAATGAAACATAGCTTACATTCTAGTGGGGATTGGGGATGTATTGAGGATATAACAAAAAATATTATATTCTCAGGGGGATGAGGAAGGCCTTACAACCATGGAGAGCAGCCTGTTTAAAAGTACGCGGCATGAGATAGAATGACAAATTTCGGTAAAAGTAAGCAGAGCAGATTGTATGGAAAATTGAGTTTTTGAAGGGGAATAATATGGATAAGTCCAGAAAGGTAGACTGAAGCCAGATTACATAGAGCTTTATATTTTAAACTGAAAAGAGGCTAGAGGGAGTCACTAAAAATTCTTGAGGAGAGAAACAACATAGATTTTTGCTTAAAAAAGATAATTTTGCCAGCTCTGTGAAGGATGATTTGGTAAGGGGAGAGACTAGAAGCTGGGAATTCAATTAGAAGGCTGTTACACAGAGTAGTGCAGGTGAGAAATGATGAGGGTGGTGTTACAAGGGGGTAAAGAAAGGAGCAGGTGTGAGTCATTTCATGGAAGTAGAATTGACCAGATGGCAATTGATTGGCTATAAAGGATAAGGGAAGGTCAAGAGTCAAGGATTACTAGGAGTTTGTAAATCTGGGTAGCTAAAAGAATGATGGTGCCTTCCACAGAATCAAGAATTTGAAAAGGGGGTAAGTTTTAGAGAGAAGATCCATTTTAGATGTATTGAGTTTGAGATGACTGTGGTAGAACATGAAGTCAATGCTCATTTAACACCCATCAGCAATGTAAGTAGGGTGAATTGTAGTGTGTGTAAGGTGGATTTTTGTTATTCTTTATTAATGTCTTGTTTCCCAGGATCCGTAGTCATAACAATCTCTAGTTTCCAGGTGTTAGATATGAGTTCTCACAATCATGGTTGAAAACAGTTTCTCCTGAGCAGTGGCAATAGATAAAGGGATGAAGTAATGTAAAATTGTGAAGCTATTGTTGGAAATATCCCTTCTCTTTCTATTGGCTATAAAGCAGGTGGGCCCTGGTTACTGAGGGGGGACCCCTTTAGGGGTGGATGCACAAACTGAAATGCTGTGAGTGCCTTGATATGCCCCCATCAAAGCTTGGGAGGGGGAATCTGTGTGTTTGCCTCAACTGGCCTCCATCGAGGATTGAGGGGATTTAGGGGAGTGCACAAATTGTGCCTGTCTCAATTGACCTCATCTAGATGGAAAGGTTATTGACGCCCCCCCCCCCATTCAAGCTGGACCCTGTGAGAAGGGCTGTTAGGGAAAGGTGTAGGAGTTAGTGCTCCCATTATTAGCAAATTCCCTTTGAGACGACTAGACTAGAATAAAGTAAGCTTATTTAACCCCTTATTGTGACTCCATTCCTGTCTTCTTGTCTGACTGGATTAAAAGCAAGCCTGCTAGGGAGAGAGGTGCTAGAAGCCCTCCTGTGACTTCCACCTAAGAAATGGTGTAGGTGGTGTGTTTACCTATCTAGCAAGGAAATTTTACCCTCGAATTTCTTTGACCCAATTAATTTCAATAAGCCCACTAATTTTCCACATTAAGAAATGTTTGCAATTATAAAGCTGAAATCTATGTCTGAAACAATGAACAGACAATAGTCAATGTGGTTATTTCAACAATCTTATTAAGTTAATCAGATGTGTGGTTAAAAGTAGTGGGAATGAACACAAAATTTAACAATCAGCAAACATTTGTTCTGTGTGCATCATGCTAGGTGTTAGGAGAAAAAACACCATCACAAAGTTTATGTAAGATATGTGCTTATCTTGAAGAAGGTTGCAGGATATTAGAGGGATTAAAGAGGTAAGGTATACAGTTTTATTAATATATTAATTCAACAAATATCTAGTGTGAGTCTACTTTGTATAGAATACCTATGCTGTATACTCTCCATATTGGAAGTCAGTATGGTACAGTAGAAGAAATACTGAACTTAGGGTTGTAAAACCTGAGTTCAAATTCCTCTTCTACTTACTACATATGACCCTGGGTAAGTGTCTCAACCTCTTTGGGTCTCAGTTTTCATGAAGGTTTTGGATTAGATGACTTCTAAATTCTGATTAACAGTAATTATGGCTATTATAGGTTTTTGTTACACACACTCCTGCTCTTGAGTACCAACCCTGCCATTTCTAGGTACTGTATCTTCCTGTACTTGTATTCTTGATTTGGTCCAGAAAAAGAGATCTTCAAACCACCACCAAAAATAGTCTTTGATTTAATAGCTATCCTACTTCCCACTAGTTTTTTGTTCTGTTTGTATTATGTGTAATATAACTTTAACAGCATGAAGACCCCACTCAAGAACTCTATATTCATTGTCCCTTAATTGAAAGCCCCCACAATGCTGTGTGTAGAAACAGAATTGTAACATGAAAGGTCAGTTTGTTCAGGTTGAAACAACATAAAAACCTGCCCATTCAACTAGCCCACCTCATTACTTCCTCTTAGATATTACTTTCATAGCTGGATCAAGAACCCCTGAAGGGGGCAAACTCCCAGGCTAGCATAATACAGGCACAAAAATCTGGGGTGATAAACCTCTGATAGTTTACCATTACCTGCATTAGAGGTACATAAAGAGTTTGCCAGACCCTCAGCTGAGCATAGACTCTTTGTTTGACTCAAACCTAAACCTCGTAAAAATCATACAAGACTGGGCTAGCTAACATAGTTAATATTCTGCTAGTCCTGTCTGACTGTCACAGGGAAAGAGTATGTTGTAGGGATATGGGGATAATGTGAGCAAAACAATGGAAATAAGAAAATACAGGTTATTTTTGAAAGGTAGGGAACATACCAATTTGACTAGAGTATTGATCAGAGGGAAAATGATATATGAGAAAGCTGGAAAGATCAGTCAGTGCCTGATTTTGGAGGACCTGAATGCCAGGCAAAGGAGTGTGGTCTTTTTATATTGTTACAAAGGACAGAGCTCCTGGAAAATTTTAAGCAGAGGAGTAACATGACTGGATCCATGCATACATTTGCTTGTTCTGATGGTATTATGAAGGATGACTTGTAGGAACAAAGCGAGGGCAGGAAGAACCCTTAAAGCCACTGCAATAGTCTATGAATACTGGGTAAAATATGTACTGTACAGTCCATTTTAAGAATTCAATTCAACAAACATTCATTAAGTACTTACAGGTGTTAGGCACTGTGCTAGATGCTGGGGATTACAAAGACAAGTGAAATGTTCATGCCTTCAAGGAGAAACAGTGCCATCTCAGACTCCGTTGTGTTATACAGACAACAGCCATAGACTAGGCTCTGAAGCCAATACTGAGGCATGATCAAACACTGGACTGAGCACTTTTGTGGCTAAATAATTTTTGAATTGGCTTCCTGTCTTTCCAGTTTCAAGATGTTTCTGCTAGGCCCTGGTCCTGAGATGCCTATATGGGGGAGGAGATGGTGGAAATCGAATAGCGCATCCCATATATACCTTAAGCAATTGGTTCTAGTTGATGACGTGGCTGAATAGGAGCTAAAGGTGGAACACCTGAAAAAAGCCAAGAGGGAGGCATAATGCTGCTCACAATCATTACTTTTTCATTATAAGTACTTTTCTCCAAAAAGCAGTGTGGTAACCTATATAGAGAGTTGTCTTTGAAGCCAAACAAAGTGAGGTCAAACAGTAGTCAATGACTATAGTAATCTATTATTTGATAAACCCAAAGACCCCAGCTTCTGGGATAAGAACCCACTCTTTGAAAAAAACTGCTGGGAAAACTGGAAAAGAGTATGGCAGAAACTAGGCATAGACCCAAATCTCACACCATATACCAAAATAAAGTCAAAATGGGTTCAGGACTTAGATATAAAGGCTGGCACCATAAGTAAACTGGGAGAACAGGGAATAGTTTACCTATCAGATCTATGGAGAACAAACAGAATTCATGACCAAACAGGAATAGAGAACATTATGAAAAGCAAATGGATATTTTGATTACATTAATTGAAAAGTTTTGCACAAACAAAGCCAATGCAACTAAGATTAGAAGGAAGTAGAAAATTGGGAAAGAATTTTTAAACCAGTCTTTCTGATAAAGGCCTCATTTCTAAAATATATAGAGAATTAAGACAAATTTATAGAACACAAGCCATTCCCCAATTGATAAATGGTCAAAGGATATGAACAGACAGTTCTCAGATGAAGAAATTAAAGCCATCTATAGTCATATGAAAAAATGCTCTAAATCATTATTGAGAGAAATGCAAATCAAAACAACTCTGAGGTACCACATCACACCTATCAGATTGGCCAACATGACAAAACAGGAAAATGATAAATGTTGGAGAGGATGTGGGAAAATTGGAACACTAATACATTGTTGGTGGAGTTTGAAATGATCCAACCATTTTGGAGAACAATTTGAACTATGCCCAAAGGGCTACAAAAATGTGCATACCCTTTGATCCAGCAATAGCACTTCTAGGGCTGTATCCCAAAGAGATCAAACAAATGGGAAAAAGACCCACATGTACAAAAATATTCACAGCAGCTCTTTTTGTGGTGGCAAAGAATTGGAAATTGAGAGGATGCCCATCAATTGGGAATGGCTGAGCAAGTTGTGGTATATGAATGTAATGAATACTATTGTGCTAT